TTTCTCCCTGCTGGCAGTGGGAGCACAGCCTGTCCTCTCTGGGCAGCCAGGTCTGCCTGTGTCGCCCAGTTTCTATGGCCAAGCTGTGGTCACTGAGCCTGTACTTCGTCAGGGTCTGTTTCTGTTTGTTATTTTTTATTTTGGTCAAATATTCAGCTAGTGTGTATTATCTCTCTCTCTCTCTCTCTCTCTCACCTTGTCATGTTACGTCATATGAAATCAGCTTCTCGACCAATTAGAACTCAACTTCCTCTGTATTTAACTTGGTAGTTTTCAGAATGAAGGGGGCCTTATGCTAGACTTCCGTTCTGCTCGGCTCAACTTCAGCTTCGTCTCTCTTTGTTTTCATTCATTTCACTTTGTATGTGTGTTTCTGTATAGCTTCGGCTTTGTTGGTTTGTGTTTATCTCCTCCTTTTACTTTTGTTTGTTTGGATTATACTTTATTTCGCTATTACTTTGCCCAAACATGTTGTATCAACCTCTATGCCCTTTTGTACCCTATTTCTTGTGTCTTATTTTCCCTTATTTGTATTCGTAGCTCATTTGTGTATTTTTGTGAACTTTTGTGTAAAGGGTTAGTAAAAGTTGTCGGGTACATTGTGCACACGTAGTTGGTCTTCGTATTAGAAAAACTAGTTTAGGATGGGAGAATGCCTTTTGTCTAGTATGGTTTTGGGTAGTCAGTGAAGGTTAGCTAAGGTGTTAGAAGATCCCGAAGACCGAGTGTTTCGGTTTTTGTTTTGTAGTTAGGTCAGCTTCCCTTCGCTTAATTAGCCAGCTTCATTTTGTATGTTATTTTCGTTCCTTTGGCACCACTCATATTTCCTCTTCCCCCATACAGTCACCTTTTCAAATTGAACATATTTCACTTCTGTTTACCTATCCAAATTTGTTCCAACTATCTTTTCCACACACCGAAGATTTCTTCCTGCATGCCTGAAATTCACACTCCATATACCCCTCCTAGACTATTGGGGTGCATAACAGTTCAAAATAAAATATATTATATATATTATTTCTGTATTGGCTTCAAGTTTTTTACAACCCCCCCCTACTTTTGGGAATACATCATACATTTTTTTAAATACTAATTTTCCAATCTAAATTGATACATAAAGGCAAGCTATAATGAGATTGTCCTTTTGTATTCAAGTTCAGAAAAACAAAATAATTTGCAGTGGTTTCCTTTCTTTGTATATTCTTTGTTGAAACAGAGGACCAAGAGAAGACAGATTCTAATACATAATATTACTGTGAAATCCTAAACGAATTAATGTTCTGTAACTCTGGACCAAAGCAACAGATTCTTTAACTGGTGACTAAACCTAATATACAATTTTTTTAAACCAAAACAGTAATAGGCAACTGTTGAGTTATGGATAAGTTTACATATTTTTTGTTCCTATGCCTGATTCTCACACAAAGAAATCAACGATCACTTTCATTGACTCTAGACGTGAGAAACACACAGTTTCCTCTTCAACATTAAGAAAATAGAATAACCTCACAGCAGCAACACTGTTATAACCCGATGAGAAAGCACTGTTGTCCTAGATCTCATCACAGATCAGACCAGCTGGGGCCGTGATGGACATTCGCCGTGGAGCTGCTTTCTGCCTGGTGGGAGCCCAGGCCGGGCCCTACCTTGCTCTTGCTCCTTCTGCTTTTTTTTCTCCAGCTTCCGCTCCTTCACGTTCCGGAGTTTGGCTTTGCCGATGCCACCAGCTTTGCGAATGGACTCTAGGAGGCTGGCTCTGCCATCCGAGGGCCTCACGACTTCAGTGGGTGCCCCCTGCAAGGGACCTGCATGGAGAGGCGAGATGAAAGACGCAGGTGCGTGACGGAAATGAACAGGTGAACAGACCCACAGACGTGTTCCAAACGTCTCCACTGCTCATACCATCACGGACATCAGCTAGAAAAAACCTGAGGTTTCTGCTAAATTTTTGAAAGACATCACACCACAGCATGAGGCTAAATACAACAAATCAGGACCGCTTTGGCAAAAAGAAATGAAAAAACTTGAAAGGAGATGAGCTTGAATTCACTTTGACACTTAACCTAGTTCCCGGGATTTTTTAACTTTAATAATTAAATAAATTATAAGTGAAATAAATAAGAAATTAAATAAAACAACAAAAATAACTCAGTTGTTGAAATTCTGCAAATATTGCCTGATGTGCAACAGCAGGAGACAGAGGAGCAACCATAAACTGTTCACATTCAAAAGGACAGGAGAGGAATTAGAAGAAGAAATCCCTGACTCTGGCTTTGCTTTAGAACAAATTACTTTCAGAATTTACTGTGCTCCCGGTTACAGGAGTGCAAACTGGAACAGGAGTTAAAGCCCACAGATTTAAAAAACAAAGCACTGGAAATGAACATGAGCCAGATGGCAGTGATTTGTGCCTTTGAACAGTACAACAGGATTTACATGTTCACCCCTTTTAAGATTTAATTTAGCTGCACTGATTTAACAGAGCACTTTATTTACTTTAAGCCCCCATAGAAAACAAGCTCTGGTTCTGACTGCAGGTTAATTCAACTTTAAAGGAAGGGTCTTCACAGGTGGCAAGTTTTGAGAGAAATAAGAGCACCCCCAAGTTTTCAAAGCAAAATGCAGGGAGGCATCCATATCCTAGAATAAAGGATTTATAGCATACAGAATTCTTGCAACAAAATGATGGCCTTAGAGGGAAAAGAATAAAATGTATAAAAAACTAGTGTTGTTCAGGTTAAGGAAATGGCTAGTCTCCAGCAAGCAGTATTTTATTTCATAACTGAAAGAAATAATGGGATTAAAAGGCAAAATATGCTTAGGGCAGAATGAAAACATTCACAGCAGATCACACAACAGGCTCAAGGCTCCAGTCTTCTCTTTTTCTGAATGTACTAATTGCCACAGTTCCCAGATTTCACCTGTACCTTTTTTCCTTCCCACAATGAAAAAACAATGCAGCAGTCATATACGACATTGGAAAGCCTTGAGCTGGGGTCAATACAGATTGTCAAGGGGGTAAAAGCTTCTGGGCAGAGTCAGATGGGGCAAAAAAAAAACTTACATCCAAAGGCTCCAAAAGCAATGTCGCAGTATCACAGTGGGAAGCATTCTGAAAGTAACCAATTCTTTTCAATTTGGGGGTTCATTAGCCCACCAGAAAAGCTATAACAGGATACTTTAAAACCACAAAAGACCAATCTGTAATGCACGTTATTCACAGTAAAGTAGTGCAGTATAACTCATAAGAGAAAAGGACGTACCTGTGGATGCAGGGTGGCCACCCAAGTCTCCACTGACAGGGGTGGGTAGAGTTGGTGGTGGCGGAGGAGGTGGAGGGGGAGCTGGGGGGGCACCAGGAGGGATTGCTGTGTTCTGGATAGAGGCTTCAATAGGGGGTGGAGGAGGAGGGGGTGGGGGAGGAACTTCAACCCTAAACTGCAAGTCTGGAAAAAACAAAAAAAAGGTCAATCATATTTATACATTTCAACAGATTCTTCAAGGATTTCATAAGGTCATCAATTTGTAGCTACAGCAATGGGAATCACGATGCTCTGTACGTTTCCATGACTATTGACAAAATTAAATATGGTCTTAAAACTTTTTTATAGCTTCTGCTTTGTCTGTCTTAAGAAGTTATATAGATATGCAGCAACAAAAGGGATCACTCTGCCTAAATGTTTTTTTTTAATAAATATATGGGGTTTTGGATACTGATTAAATGTTCTTAGTGTCATTTTAATGAATTGATCATTCATAACTGACAGTTATACTGTGACTGTTGCATGAGCATTAAAACACCTCATTAGTGACTGGGTACAGGTGATGAGGTGATTTAATCTGTGAATGTTAAGCCTGGTGGAAAATCAAAACAGAAGACCAACATGATCAAGAGAAAAGCACCTGCATGCCATCGAGCACAAGTTGAACTTGTATCTGAACCATACTTCCCTTTTACAAAACAAGGAGTCCACAAGAGGTCTAATAGACAGTCGTCCACTTGTACTTACACACCTGACCCGCTGAGCTCCCCAGGTTCTGTCCCGAATGTGGGCAGCTCTGGAATGGCAGTGGCTGACCCCGAGGGCGCAATGCCAGGCCCCAGGTCAGCACTGTAGGTCAAGTCATCCGCAATGCCAGGGAGGTCCGGGAGGTAGGAGGGCACATCAATCTCAGGCACCTGACCCAGATCTGGGACATAGAAATAGTTTTCGGCTGTCTGAAGAATGGAGAGAAGGAAATATGTGCTAAATACGGGGCCTAAATAAATCACATTTCATTGATTTATAATGAATATTTCATTAAATATAACGGTCATTACATTTTGAAGTAGCAATTATTTTTTGTTAGAAACACAATGCCATTCACACATTCAATGCAAAAAACAAAAAGAAAGATCCAAATACAGGTAGCTGCCAAAATAAAGGAAACACTTGAGTAAATGAAGGATACAAAGCATACTGAAAGCTGGTACCTCCACACAGGTGAGGTTCCTGCGTTAAATAAGTTGCCCATTATTTTGGCTACCAGGTCTAAAAAAAAATCTCAGTGATTGTTGGAGAATGTTTGGCAGGAGTTTCGGTAATGAAGACGTGCTGATGTTTCCCAAGGAACAGTGGCTGAGGTGATGCTGGCATGGAAGTCTGAGGGAAAGACAATATCAACTTGGGACAACTGTGGATGAAAGTGCAAATGCCTTGACAATAATGTCCGTACATTCATTCGAGATGCAAACTAAAAATGACAAGCAACTCTGAATGAGTTGACAGCAAATGTCATTCTAAGGTGTGAATAGGCTGCTTTATCGTCAGTCGAGAGCTTCATAGAGAGGGATACTATCAAAGAGGTTGCAGCACATTTTGTGAGAAAAGTGATGTGGTTTACTGAGCAGTGGAAAAAAGTCACACGCTCAGATAAGTCTTTCTCCACCGTGTTCTCAACAAACAGACGAGTACATGTTTGGCACACCCCAAAAGTCTATAGGCTTAAGTGGTTGGTGAGAGGTTCTGGCAGTTCTGTTATGGGGTGGGGTGCATTTTCCTGGTACAGTTAAGGTCACTCAACCTTAAAGGGCAAGGTAAATGCCAATAAACACAAAGCCATTCTGATTGATCATGTTCATCCTATGGTGAAACATTTTGATCCTAACGGGAATGGATTCTTTAGGACAATAATGGCCTCACCCACAGGGAAGGAGTGGTCAGTGAATGGTTTGATGAACATGAAAATGATGTAAAAGATATACCATGGCTCTCCCAGTTATCACAGATCAGGAGGACAGCATAAAACATTCCAACGTCCCTTAATATTTCCCTGAGCACCATGAAGTCAACCATTAAAAGTAGAAAAAACACTGCAAACATGTGGCAAAAGAATTTGTGGTTGGACATGAGAAAATCTTTCTGTCTTAAATACGAAGAGCTACAATTGATGGAAACCCAACATAGTGCATCACCCATGTTAACACTTCTCTGAAGAATGGTGATGGCAGCATTATGTCACTATATCATCAGCAGGGACTCACTTATTTTATTTTATATATGATTATTTAAATTCTAGTAAGATTTGTTTTAGGAAGCATATCAAGATTGATGCTAATATAGATGGAGCAAAACACTGGTATATTTTAGATGAAAACCTGCTTTAGATCTAAAACTGGGCCATATAGCCAGCTTTCAGCCAGACACTGATCTCAAGCATAAGGACGAAGCTACTATGGAATGGCTTGAAAATAAGAGGTGAATATCCTTGAGTGGCTCAGTCAAATATGCCATGGAAAGCCATGAAAACTGCTGTCTTTTAGTGATTGATCAACAGCACATTGACCAAGGAAATCTACCAAAAAAGAGAAAAAATGGTACCAAGCAGGTAGGCAAAGTTGGTAGAGACTTACCCAAAAACACATGGCTGTAATCGCTGCCGAAGATCCAGCAAATAGTTCTCAAGTTTGAATACTTATGCAATCAACATATTTCATTTTTTCTCTTTAGTTTTTGCTGATGTTTACCCCATCTTATCTTATCATTAGAAGTCTTCAACTGAGCTTTCAGGTTTTTAATAAGTTTTAAGTGCATATAAATTAAAAAAAAAACATTTAGTAATTTCACTAAATGACATCATATGACATCAGCATTTTGAATACTTTTCTACAGCATAGTACTGCATGTAGAAAACCATGAATAAACTTAAACTGTTACTCTTTAATGTAGTCATCTGCTGTACCAAGATATTCAGAAAATGAATACCAAAATAGTTTGAAATATTTTAAATAGCAATAGATGAACAATAATTAGCATTTGTGTTTCTATTAACTCAAGTAAAAAGCCAGCCATTTATTTAGCAGAACAGGTAGTACCCAAAGACACAGTGATAACACTTAACCTGTGTTTTTGACCACCAGATGTTGAGCTAATATAGGCAATTTGTATTAAACAAGAGAAAGGCCATATCACATTTAAGTGCATACTTTTTTAGATTTTAAAAAACAAACTATACCGAAATATATTCAGGTTTCATATGAACTAGCCATATTATTTTACATAAAACAGTCAATTTCAATTAATATTTTTTCAATATGCCTATGCTGAACAGAAATATTGAACTAGTTCTATGCTAGAGTTGGCTACTCAAGCCAAGTCTATTAACTAACTAAAGTGGTATGGTCAATTTCACTGAAGTGACTAAAAGCTATTTTCTAGTGTATAGCTAACCTTACCTAGTTCAGCAATGCTCACTGATTATTCACACTATCAATTGTACCTTGAAATCATTTGGAGCCTATTCATTTATTACTCAAGGAATGCTTTATTTACATATTAAGGTGTTGCACTTAATATTAATGGCAACACTTTGAAAACTTAAATCTTGTGATACAATAACTAAATGTATTTTGAAAACTCACAGATGAAAGAGAACTCTTAAGTTAACTCTTAAAATACATATAAAAATTAAGCAGATGTTAAGTATTAACTTCATGGCTTAAAATAAAAAATCCTAATTTATCATCCCCTTCATCCTTTTTTGCACTGTCATTGGCCAGCTGTTGCAAGCCAAAAGTACTTGTTCATTTGAAGCATGTCTTGACAAGAAGATTTACATTTTTGTGAAGAATGGAACAGACCCAAGAATTTGATATACCCTGTCCTATTTTACTCAAGAGTCATTTGAAGAATGCTCCTGGAGTTTACTAAAGCAGTGAATTAAAGTTTACTTTTGCAGTTTCATCACTCCTAAAGTGCAAAGTACTATATAGAGAGTAGCATAGACTTCTAATCTTTAGCTCTTTTGAGTTATTCCCACCTGATTTTGAAAAGATTGATTAGCATGAATTTGGGAAAATGCCCTATCGTAGAATGTTTTGCATCATTTTTTTTAATTCTTTCCAAACATATAAATGTGAATATTGTGATGCCAACAAGTGGAATAACAGGCTAATTCCAAATGAATTTATAGTGCCCTGAAAAAGTTGTCAATGTTGTCCCTTGTTTAACTTACACATGAAGTATGCACATTTTTTTTAATTATTTTTTTTTAATCAAAGCTTCAGATGCACAAACAGAACACCTTTATAGGTAAAAAAGGGTTAATGTCAGCAAAAACCTGTAAACAAAAATAAAATTTGTTGATTACATATTACAATTAGAGCTGCAAATGACTTTGGATAAATTCCAACTAACTTTGCACATGGGCATGATGTGAGTTTCTTCCATTTTTCTTTGCAAATGTGCTAACACATTTTTAGTCACTTACTCCCACAAAAACCATGTACTGTATACACATATAATTCTACAAAATGGGCCATCGTTGCAAGAAGGAGAATAATAACTATTGCTTGATAGATAGGTTAATGAAAAAATAAGTATCCTTTTACATTTTAAATTCAATTCTTTCATTTTTAATTTCAATTATTTCACCTTAACTAGGTTCATTTGCATCTTCAGACAATGCTGCTGATTTTTGCTGATCAACTAATCAACTGATCTATATCAAAATAAATGGAAGAGAAAGCTTTGCCTTTAAACAAACCATTTAATTCCTGATTCAAGGAAGATCAGTAAAGAGTTTTATTTACTTTTTAATGTCACAATTCGGCACGGTTCTGAAGGGGGGTGGCTGTAAAGCTAAAAAACTGTTCTGTGATCATTAAAATGGTTTTATAGGCTGCCAATTTTCAAGCGTTTATTGGCAAAGCTTCTCCATTATCTGCTCATCTCTTAGATCGTTGAGCTCTGAACAGACCCCTGTGCTCTAGGACAATTGGAGGGAGGGAGGAAGGAAGGTAGAAAAAAAGAGTGATACCTGTCTCTCAAGCTGCTCTCTCTTCGTAATGGACAGAGGGGCATCAAAAGGCTTCTCCTCCTTCTCTGTCTCTAGGGTGGTGTGTGTTTTTGTCACAGCTCCCGCAAGTGGGTCCAGGAACACGTACTTCTTATATCTAGTTTGACAGAGAGTGAAGTGACGGAAATACATGGAAATATGACTCAATAAAGGGCTATCTGGCTACAGGGTACTTTCAAAATAAAGCCCAGGTGCTTAATTTAGTTACTGTATGTCAGCTGTAGGCACAGACACAGTTTTCTTAATGAGTTGAACAAAACCAACTGATTTGACTTGGCGACATTTCAGTTCATTCAAAGAGCACATAAAAAAGGACAGAAATATTTAAAAATGTTGATGCAGTGTGACTGAAACAGACATTTACTTAATAAGAAAGGCACAGAATCAATCACTGTCTAGACAGTGCTACAGAGCCTCAAAAGACAGATACCATAGCTAGTGAAAACAAAAAGAGAATGAAGAAGAACAAAATAAAAGCAGATAAAAGAATGATAATAGAGGATGCAAACAAAATGACAAGGCAGCAGGAACTGTCTGAAAAATACATGTTTTCCTGATACCAAAAGGGATATCTTCTGTCATGGGTTGTGCAGTGTAGTTTTGCTGTTCGTTATTGATGCCGTTTGGATGCTGAGAAGTAGTAGGCTTGCCAGTGAGATTTTTTATCATCATGATAAGGACCTTAATGCTGTTGCAGCCACTTGAGAGTGAAAAACAACCAGACAAGATTAACTCCAATTTTTCTAACACTACCCGAACCATGACAGTTAATGTACACATACAGTATGCAATAATGTTGCCTTTTCCAGGTTTTAAGACAAAAAAGTGGGAAACGGAGACCAAAGATCCGGTGGATAAAATATTAATAATAATTAGACCATTACTACTGCTGTGACACAATTAGAGTGCTAATTTCAATCTTATACAGTTAATTCAGAGAGAAAGTGATTTATCTTTAATTGAACAGCTGTTTGTCTGCCACTAGTCCTGGAAACATTCAAAAGCAGCTTAGAATGCCTGAAGCAGCTCCATTACTGTGAAATGGGGCTTATAGATTGTCTGCCAAACAAGCAGTGCTTGATTTGCCCATTTTCCGATTATGAGGATAAGAATGAAAGGTTTCTCTTTATTACCTTTATTACCTTTTGTTCATTTTGATCAAATAAGACCATTTCATCAAGTCCTTTGCCATAACAAGTATGCGTAGTGCAAACTTTCCCAGACTGCAAACTTAAAGGGCACACATTCTGTGGTTGTACCCTTCCTGTAAACCATTTCTTGGACTGACTACTTAGAAACGTGCTACAAAATTAATTGTTACAAAGGAGAATTGGTATTACTTCTTGTAATGTTGCACACAGAGTCATTAGCTCTCCTCAACTGCCACACCAAATCAATACCAGACGCAGTCTTTTATGGATACAGTGATAGGGATCACAAAATTGACATTCTAGGAGGGAGATGTGACAAACAACACTACTTTGATATGCTCTTGAGCTTGAAGTCCCTCAGGCTCCACATATATTGAACAAAATCACATTTCATTTATTAATGTTTGACTTCAACCAAGCTTACAGGTTCTCTGTGGTGTTAAAGAGGAGCAGTGAGCTGACTGAACTGATGTTCCTGGGCAGGCTCCCCAGTCCTTCCTCTGTTTCATCCTCTGAGTGTCTCTTGGCATTTACACACATGGGAAAGTACATCAGCTTCTCCTGTGGAAAGAGTAAAAGATTATTCTCCAGAGAAAATCACATCTCACTGCTGGCACAAACACAGATACAGGAAGAGTTCCTTTTGAATGGTGAAATTTACATGGGTGAAATCAAAACATGGGAACACATACTGTATGCATCTTATGTGGTATTGTTTTATTTGTTCTTCCTGCTAAAATTGAGCTTTGTGTTGCATTTTTGTTTTAAACTCAAAAATGTATAATCCCTGATTCAGACGGATGTTAGAAACAGCAGCACCCCTTTAGAAAGTACATAACCTCCCTTTGCGTAAGACCTGCTGTCAGCTTCGATCTCCGTCAAGGCAATCCAAAGGCTGAATTAACACACGCCAGCACTTTGGCATCAGCTGCAAGCTCAGCAGCTTAGCATTTGTTTTCCATTCATTTTTTATCAGGGCTTTTTTCTCTTACATGCCTTTCCATCAACCTCCATTCATGCAAAATTGATATGACTAAGGGGAATAGGACCTTTTTTAAGGATGTTCCTTAATAAAAGCACTGAGAAAAACACTTCTTGGATGCTCCTTTCGAACAACACATCACAAGAGGCTCTTGATCATTTCAGGCATTATTTTCCTTTTCTGAAGACAGCTTCTGAGACAACTGAGACAAAATAAATGTCTAAATGTCCTGGAAAATGAGAAAAGCCAGTAGGTTCTAGACAACCAGCTGATGTGTCACTTAAAGAGGCTTGAAAAATCGTTATGAGTTGTTAATGGTGAGTTAATAAGGCTCCACAACACAGAAAAGTGTTCTGGACAAGTTTGATGTACAAAGTTTTGACTTGATGGACAAGTTTGTTATTATATTGAAGAATGTACAGTAGATCAAAATCAGCAGAAAATAATAGTAGCTATTCAAAAATAAGAAAGGTTACAAACAAGAGGCTCATCAACCCCAAAGACCTCATAAAGCCTTTTTCTTGAAAGAAACCTTCAACTTTCTTGAAAGCCCAAGCCTTAACATGGCTTTACCTTTCGGGTAAAAAAATGCCTCCTGTTCTTGGTTTTACATGCACTTTTAGCGTGTTCTGTACTTGTGCCCTCGTGTGGTTCATGTTTCACTTTTCATTCTGATGAAATCTGCTTGATTGACTTTATCAATGCTTTTGAGGATTCTGAATACTTGTATCAGGTTCCCTTATAGTTTTCTCTGATCAACACTGGAAAGTTTAAGTTCCTTCAGCTTGGCAGTGTACATTCCCTTAAACCCCATAATATATCTGGTTGCTCTTCTCTGGACTGACTCCAGTATTCTTTTTCATAAAATGTTGACCAGAATTGTAGGCAACATTCTAAATAAGGCCTAACCAGTATGTTATGATTTTTTATAAAATCACCCTTTTTAAATTCTGTGTTTAACTGTATAAATAGTATTGTGTATAACCTTTTTCCTTCCCCACACTGTCTAGATTTAAATGATATGTCAACATAAAACCATTTAATAAGTTGCTACTTCTAACTCAGTGTTTCACTTTTTTTTATCACCTGCATGTAAAACCTGGCACTTGTCTTTATCTGTCAGGTGTTTGCAAAGTCTTGAATTATATGTCAATATTTTTGGATGTCATTTGCCACATCTACAGCGCTTGCTATTCTTCCTAGTGTGGTACCCTCTGTAAACGAAACTAGTTTGTTGTTAAAAATATACTTGAATTCAGATCCTTTGTATAAATTAAGAGGAGCAGTGGTCCTTACATAGATCCCTGAGGAAAATAAGTTCAAAATGTGGCTATTAAAAGATCCAAAACACAACATTTTGTAGCCAGAATTGACAGAAAGTCTACCTGAAACATCCACATTAAACAAACAGCACATAGTAGGTATGAAGGAATGTTGTGGTTTAAAGCCTTCATATCAGACAAGAAAAAAATGAAATTGTCAAGAAGTGGTACTAAAAATATAAAGTTCGATTGAAACACAACTTTAAACTTTCAGTTTCAAGATAAAAGGATATCTGAGAAGGAAAAAAAAGTGAAGGACTGTCAAAATAGTATAAAAATGTGGGTTATGTGCACTAGTCTCACCAGCCACAAGACTAAACCTGCTGAAATGACATGAGATGATATGATTGGAGTGAAAAATAATGACAAAGACAGGCAGAGATACACTGATAAAGTTCTGGAAACCACTGCTCAGCATATGCAGCTGAGAGCTTTCATACTCTTTATTTAGAGTAATCTCCATGCAAATCAAATTAATAATTTTTGTTACTAAATAACAAAAATAAAAGAAAGCTCTCAGGAGGCACAGTAACAATTTGTAACAGAGGTCTGAGAGTTCAGAAAACATATTTAACTCTGAAATGTGAACCCACGATCTGGAATGAACTCTTAAAAATCAAATGGATTAGAAGCAGTTTTGTTTTTTAATATATTTTTTTCATTATGATGTTAAGGGAAGTAATCTTATCTGGTGAAGTGATTTGTAGGTCACTGAAGTGAAATTGTAGGTACGAATCCCTGTCTTTTTCCTTGGATCAGCCTAATTATTTGCATGAGCATGTGAAAAGTTCCATTTATCACAGGCTTTCAAACAAATGAACTGTATGGGATACTACATGAACATATGTAAATAGTCTTCAGGGATTAAAAATTCTGTTTCAAGATTCACTATCAAAGAGAGCCGACCAGAGCATGGCGTCTGCTCAGCTTTTATCAAAAGCAGATGGCAGTTAATAAAAAGAAAATTACTATGAAACACACGTATAAGAGGACAAAAATTCAATTAACTCCTATTAATTAACCTTTGGTCTCCTGAAAACACTTTTCCTTGTGCTCTGTAGGAGATGGAAGAAATAAAAACTTCTGCTGCTTAGCAACGGTGCTAAGCACAAACAGGAATGGAACACTCAAAAAACTGCTTTAAAGCAACTAAGGGTCTAACATTAAAATTTCCTTAAAACAAGCATCCTACTAACATTCAAACTATAGTGAACATATAATCCTTTAATATTATCCAGTAGTACGTTAGCATAAAGACACAATCTCGGACTTCTGACTGACCTCTTTGTTAGACATAATTAATGTATGGGAGTTAACAAGTATTAGCCATGGATATTTTGGGCAGATGCTATAATATAATGAGACAATAATATTGGGAGAAACTATAAATAATAACTTTGATGAAACTGAATTATGAGCTTCAATAAATACTGTTAGCAAAGAGAAGGTTGAAGCCCATCACAGCAGATAAGTTACATAGTCTATACTAAATTAAAAAATGTAATTGGAAGCAATGTGATTAGGTGTACCTGTGTTCTGTTTAAAAGCATTTGGAATTTTGCATATATTAGTTGGATATCACAATTTAGTTTATACATATTCCCTCTCAGTTAAGGAGGAACTGTGACACTATTTTTATATTTCAGGGTTAGAAAGAATTGGCATTGATGAGTGCATTTCAAACCACAGTGAAAATGTAAAATGTACTGTACACAGTAATCTATAAAACCTTGAATTTACATTACAAAGTAGACTACATTTCCAGGTATGTGCAACACCTGGATTCAGAACGAGGCAACAAAACTTCTAGTGATGTGAAGGGGCCCTATTACATTTTAAACATCCATTACATTGTAACGCATTGTACCCCTATCATTTAATCCAACAGAAATATTGCGCTCAACTTCAAGATGGTTTTGCCGACAAATATAACTTACTTGTTAGCTCTGCATGCAAATCATGTTGAAACATTTCTGTGGTGAATTGTTTGCTGCACAACCTGTACTAATTCACTCTTATATCACATTGCATTAGTTCTTACAGTGAGTAGTGAGCAAGAAGGGGCGTGTCACAAAATTAGACAAAATGGAGACCATACAGTACTTTCACAAAGTTCACGATTTTGCGCTTAATTCGGAATTTGTACAATTTCGTGATACTGTAAATTAATTTATTTTGTTACCGAGATTAAATAACTGGTCTGAGAAATTGGGACTGCAGATCCACCTTAATTGAACTGCATGTACACTGCATAAAAAATAACAAACCACTACACAATTACCTGTAAAATCTGTTTAGCCGATTTTGAAGTAACCTGAATAATCTAACAATAAGTGCCTCGTTCATGTGAGGACAGTCATCATCCTAAGCATTAAGCTTACCTTGAATTTTTGTAGATAACTTTTAAATGAATCACTCAGAATTAAACAAGTTGTGTGTTAACATGCACTTTTTGACCCCATGTAACCCTTGGAACTCATCTAACAAATTTGCACTCTTGGAAACATTCAAGAAGAAGTGAAGAGGAATTAAGAAAAAAATAGAACACAAAATGAGCAATGCTGTACTTACAAAAGTTAGCAATTTCTTCAGCAGCACATAATTTGGTAGTCGATACATAAAAATGTTAGTAGATCTTTAAATAATTTATTACTTTCCCAACTCTATCAAAAAAGGCAGAGCAAGTGGGAACGTAACGAACCGTTACCATGCAGAGAACTATTGCTTCTGATGGTTTAATATTTATAGTTCCATCCAACTTTGACAGTTCTAATGATAAGTGAGAACACTCACAATCACGGGTGCACCGACTATAAAAATTGAGAGAGTTCACACTCAAATCTTTTTTGGCAACCACAATGATAATTGTTTAGCAACCAAATTCTGGCTTGCATAAAGAGTAGTTTTATAAAATATCACCTCCAAAAGGATAATTTAATCTTTATATAACTCTGAGAGGTAATATGACTAGAAAGGATAATTCTTAATTGCTGTTTAATATTAACAGAAGCCATTATGGGCTTAAATATTTTTTCATGAATCATGTACAAAAAAGAAATTGCTAAAACAGACATAAAATGAGTCAGTTGGTAAAAACAAATGTATTGCTCTAAATTGCTTACACTTCTGAGTGTAAACTGCTACTGTATTTATTTATTAGCACATATTACAGCAATATTAGAGCAGCAGTAAGCAATGTAATTATCTTTGTAATCCCAAGCTTCACAAATTGCACATTGGCATATTCTTAATAGAATGGATCCCAGTTGGCACTAACTCCTGCATTTGCAAATACCTTTAAAAAAAATCTCATAATACTAATATAACCACACAATCCCATTACTGCCTCCCACAACCACTGCAGAAGTAGAGTCAAGAGAAGTTACTTTTAAAAACTGTATTAATTTTGCATTGACTGTATTTTTATTTTATTATAATATTATAATATTTTTTCCAAAAGTGAACATACTCAGTTTGCACCACTTAAACATGACACAGCCCAGTAATTCACCATAAAAACAGAACTAACAACTGCAAGATACTGTATCCTATGAAGACAGTACAGTCATTAATACTCATAAGACAGCAGTGTGCTGAAAGCAGATATCACAGGAAAATTAGGTTACATTTTTTTTACAATGAGGTTTTGAGGGAGCAAAAGATTTCAGTGGGAATGGGTTACAGGAAAAGTCTTTAAATGGTATAACCTGGCACGCTGAAAGGATACAAACAAGCCGAAACATGACACTCTAGGTTAGAGGTCTGACTGACTCTTATGGTGCTTTTAAATTGAAAGTTACATACATAGTAAATCATGCGTGTTCAATGGTTTAGCAGAAGCATACTATACCAAAAGGTACTGTAACACCATAAATATAACTACCGTATATATATCACATTCTAACCTGGAGCACTGACGCAAGTGTGGGATCATCAAATGGGCAAAGAAACAAACTTTAACTGTGACAGACTTCTTTCAGTCTCAGAACTGTTCCAAGTATGGCTATTTCAAAAGACAGGAAATGATAAGTGGTATCGTTTTAGTTAATTGTTCTAATTAATTATAAACATAGTACTCCAGAAAATAAAGCCCAACAACAAATGTAACAACATCTGTCACTGGCAAAAGATAAATATCTCAGCAGTTTTTACCAGATGATTTTTCATGTTTTATTCTACAAGGTTTCTGACTGAAGACATGAATTATAAATAATGCCTTAGGTATTAAATGAAAAAAATAACAAAGGCAGCAAAGAAACATGGATGTTATTGAAACCTCAGAGATCAGCACAAATACTAGTACCCAATCTGATATTTTAGTTACCTGTCTTACTTAGATGGCTAGTATCTGATGCTAAAACAGATATGCCTAATATTTGTGGTTCAGTTATTTAAATGTACTGATAAAACCTAGGGCTAAAGCTCTGATATCATATTAAAAATAACAGAACAAAACTGTAAGATTAGTTTTCCGAGACTTATCATACACCAAGAATAGTTTTTCACATTTTTTAATAATCGCTTTAACTTTTAATTCCTCTTTCTAGATCTTCACACTAACATCATATGCTCTGTTGTACGTATGAATTTAGCTTAATATACACATTGTGCCAGAACTGCAAATATTTAGAATCTTATTTGATTTCACTCCAAATTTAAATAATATAATGTTAACTGAGCTGTACCAGGTAGTTACAATAAAGCAAAAAACACAAGAGACTAATTTTCTAAAGTTTTTATTAACAGGCTATCATGGCAGTGATGTTCAATCAACTGGTGCTATCTTAAACAATATCCATACATCATCTCCATCTGTGCTATTCTGACATCCCAATCTGCTGGTGTGCAAAGTCAGCAGCAGGTGGCACTATAGAACAAAGATCGCCTTAACCCTTCCTGAGTTCCTTTCTGGCTTCCAGGCTGCAGAATTAATTGTGTCCGGGGTAACAGCTGCACAGGCCATAGGCATCCTACCAGAATTGACTGTGATGACTTTTGAAGTCTAAGCACTCTAGTAAGGTGGCCCTTGCATTACATTGTCTGCTAAATAATCATATTGCATAAGGTACAAACTATATGACAGAGTGCAGAGTGCCTCTTTCCTCTTCTTGAACCTAACAGCTGGGCTGGCTAACATGGCTATGGGACACTTGGGGGCATAATTAGGAAGAATGCCAGACATGTGACTGTCTACAAGACAGGAGCTTTTAGGCACAGTAGCAATTATTTGGCTACAGATTAATGAATGTCTATCCTCTACTGAACTGTTCTGACAGGTCATATTCAGCTTTTGGCTTTTTGGTTGCAAGAACATCAGTACAAATGGATGCACATGTAATACGTTTTATCCTGTGTAGCATAAAAAGAAACAAGCATTAGTTTTACCCCCAATACTCCACTGTCTATACAAGCAGCTGAAGGTAAACAAATGCCAACAGAAATAAGAGGGAATTGTGCACCTGGGCAAGACTAGACCCCTTTCGCACTGTAGACTAACTTGTCAAGATCTCTACCTCTGATATGGTATTATGTGCAGCAGCACTGTGCCATTAAAAATTCATTAAACATTAAAAATCTTGTCATTTAAATAGAGGCCATAGCCTGTACATATTTTTCCATTCAGATGCTTCTCAGAGAAAGACTATGATTCCTACACAGAATAATCCATCCATTTTCTAACTGCTTCATCCACTTAAGGAAGGCAGGGAAGCCTGAGTCTATCCCAGCAAGCTATGGGTGCAAGACTGGACACACCCTGGATGGGACACCACAGGATAGACAAACAGACACAGACACGCACACACTCACGCCAGGGTCAGTTCTGCCAGAAGCCAATTAACCCATCAGCATGTTTTTGAACTGTGGGAGTAAACTGGAGCACCCATAGTACCCAAAATCAAACTCCATATATCCAGACTAACAGACAGTCAACTGATAAAACAGTTAGCATTTTGAAATCTTAATCTTGTACAGTACTCCCTTTTGACATTAAGCTGTTTGACCCTCTACCATCTGGAAAACAGTACTGGAGCATTCGGGCCCGGACTACCAGACTCAGAGACAGTTTTTACCCCCGCCCTATCAAACTATTAAACTCCCAGCCTCTCTCACCTGCAATCTGAACCTCACAGTGCCTTCTCTCTTACCAAAACTCAAACACACACTGAAATCTACCTCTACCTCACATGTCAAGAAGCTCACTCCCCATAATTTTCTATCCTTTATTTAATTCTGTTGATGCACTGTATGATTTTGCACATCTGATGTTGTTTTGCATATTACGTGTTACCTGTTGTTGTTTTGCACATTACCTGTTGTCTCTCTCTTTCTTTTCTTATACAATTGTATTGTTGTTTTTATTGTACTTTTTACCGTCCGAGAACTAGCTTAATAGCATTTCGTTATACCATATACCTGTATATGAGTATAATGAGAATAAACTTGAAATTGAACTTGAAGCTGTATTTTCCCCATTAATTTTCATTAACAAAGTGACAGAAACTGTTACCAAAATTTTATCATGGAAAAAAGACTGCATGCAGGAGAAGAAGATTAAGTAAAGAATGTTGTTTTCCAGGTGTACCTGCAGTGCTTTATCATCCAGAGGTTTGTGTTTGCCCTGCACTTTATAACGAGGGCGTTTCTGTGCTGCTGGGTCACTGGCTCCTGCAAAGATGGAGCAGTAGTCTCGCATCTTGTCTGGAGCAGGATACTTGGCACTAGAAAATACCTATCAAAAGATGGAAAAAAAACATTTTAATTTCTTATTTATCAATCACTAATAATTGTCAGTATTAATATAGTGCTTTTTATCCCACAGTGTTTCATATGTTGGATAGGACCAAAATCCACCAGTTACCAAGGAAGAACATGATAACCATTATACACCTGCTGCCCTACTAAGTCAGCAGATCACTGAAGAAGTAAGAAATTACTTCTCCAATTGAATTAAGGGGAACTTTACGGTATGTAAGACAAATTGTACAAAGCAGAATTTTGTAAAAGTTCTACTCTTATGCATAGTGCACTGAGATTATGTAGTCAGGACCTTGGTTTAACATCTTACCTACAAGATCATACCTCTTACGGCACATACAGTGCAGTCCGTAACTATTTAGACAGTGACACAATTTTTGCTGTTTTGGCTCTGTACTCCAGCACATTGGATTTGAAATAAAACACTGACTCTGAGGTTAAAGTGCAGAATGTCAGCTTTAATTCCCTTTTTATACATAGTCCCCCCATTTTAGGGGTCCAAAAGTAATTGGAAAATTGGCTGCTCAGTTGTTTCTTGGCATGCTGTGTGTTGTTGCATCGTTAGTTTAAGCACAATAGAGCTAACAAAAGGTCTAGAGTTGATTCTAGATGCGGCATTTGCATCTGGAGTCTGCTGCTGTTGTCTCTCAACATGAGGACCAAAGAAGTGTCAATGCCAGTAAAGCGGGCCATCATGAGGCTGAAAAATCTGGATAAATCAATCAGGGACATAGCCAAAACCTTAGGTGTGTCAAAATCAACTGTCTGGTACATTGTTAAGAAGCAAGAATGCACAAGTGAGCTTAGCAATAGCAAGCAACCTGGTAGACCACAGGAGACCACAGTAGTGGATGACCAAAGAATACTTTCAATCTTGAAGAAAAACCCCTTTTCAACTGTTGAACACATCAGGAGCACTCTGCAGGATGTAGGCATAGATGTGTCAAAGACTACCATAAAGAGAAGAATACACCAGCATAATCTCAGAGGGTTCACCACAAGACACAAACCACTGGTAAGTAAGGCCACAGAAAGGCCAGGTTACAGTTAGCTAAAAAGTACATAAAAAAGCCCCTAGATTTCTGGGACAAAGCCTTATGGACAGATGAGATAAAGATTAACCTGCCCCAGAGTGATGGAAAGAGGAAAGTGTGGAGAAAAAAAGGAACTGCTCATGATCCAAAGAACATCACCTCATCTGTGAAACATGGTGGAGGTAGTGCCATGGCTTGGGCATGTACGGCTGCCTGTGGAACTGGCTCACTTGTCTTTATTGATGAAGTGACTGCAGATGGCAGCAGCAGGATGAATTCTGAAGTGTACAGAAGCATCTTATCTGCTCAGATCCAACCAAATGTCTCAAAACACTCATTAGACGGGGCTTCACTTTGCAGCAGGACAATAACCCCAAACATACTGCTAAAGCAACTAAGGAATTTTTCAGGTCCAAAAAGTGGAATGTTTTTGATCGGCCAAGTCAATCACCCGACCTGAATCCCACTGAGCATGCATTTCACTTACTGAAGACAAGACTGAAGGCAAAAAGCCCCCGAAACAAGCAGGAACTGAAAATGGCTGAATTATAGGCCTTTCAGAGCATCACCAGGAAGATACCCAACGTCTGGTGATGTCTATGGGTCGCAGAATTATGGCAGTCATCAGTTGCAAAGAATTCGCCAAATTGTATTTAAGATTATGTTAATGTGTCCAATTACTTTTGGACCCACGGAATGGGGGGGCTATATATAAAAAGGGCTGTAATTTCTATATGGATCACCTAATATACTGTAGATGTAAATACCCTCGGATTAAAGCTGACATTCTGCACTTTAACCTCATAGTCAGTGTTTTATTTCAAATCCAATGTGCTGGAGTACAGAGCCAAAACAACAAAAATTGTGTCACTGTCCAAATACTTACAGACTGCACTGTATGTGCCATAAGAGGTATGATCCTGTAGGTAAGATGTTAAACCAAGGTTGTGACTACATAATCTGAATGCACTGTGCAGAAGAGAAGAAGTTTTACAAAATTCTGCTTTGTACATACAACAAGTTAGATTTAGCTCATGTTTAATTAACATTGCTTGCCATTGAGTAAACACTTTAAAACAACAGTAAATTCAACTGAACTTTTTAAGAGGTTCATTTTTTACTGCTAGATTAAATGTGAATGACTTATTTACTAATTACAAATGACTTGTCTCTTATGGTACAAAAGTATGATAACATATCCTGTTACTTCATTCTTTTACAAAGTATGCAGAATGACGTGTTACAAAATATCTTGTTTTGAAGACATACTGTTCAATTAAAATATGTCAGTCTATTAATGTAAAAAATAAAAAGTAAAAGTAAGAACGGCTTTAAACTTATCTCTGGCAGGCTATGGTGAGTGAATTATTTTATTGAATTCTGACCACTGACAAAAAAAAAAAAGTTTAGTTCTTTCATTTCAGCAATCCCACAGAGTTTGTATTTTTAAGAGAAGCCTGTGCAGGAACACACTTACATCACATCACATTGTTACCTTAGTGGCCTTCTTGCTGCCCTTAATTTTATCAATACGGGCCTGGGCTAGGTGGATACGATCTGTCACTGCCTGGAGCTGGGTTCGGTTCTTCTCCACACTTTGGGAAACCCTGGAAAAGGAGTGAGAGATGCCAATTTTCAAGACATCAAAATGTGAAGGAAAAAAGCACAAAAGTTCTGGCTCACAGGAAACCCACGGAAGACTTAAGACAACATTATTACAGAGAGCACAGGTTAAAGCACATGTTCAAAGCATAGCTCTGCTCTCTGATAAACTCTGTGTGAAGCATGACAGAAAGTTTCTTAAATGTACAAAAACTGTAGAACGTTGATCCTAAGGGCTCTTTTGAAGATTAAAATTCACCCACTTAACTGGTTGTCACAATGGCTTTTCATATTGACATTTTTTCTCTTTCCGTAAAGATAAGTGAAAGCAGCATCCTAGAGGAAAGACAGCTTTTGGTGAATCAGACCTGAAACATCTCAGTTGTTTTTGGGGCAGAGCGGTGGCTCTGTGGCTAAGGATCAAAATCCTGCAGCCGGCATAGGAATCCTACTCTGTTGGGCTCCTGAGCAAGGCCCTTAACCCCAACTGCTCCAGGGGCGCCGTACAATGGCAGACCCTGCGCTCTGACCCTAGGCTCTCTCCCTATCTGTGTGTCTGTCATGGAGAGCAAGCTGGTGTATGTGAAAAGATAATTCCTAATGCAAGAAATTGTAAAGGGTTAATAAAGTAATGTTAATGTTAAAAAAAAACATTTAGGACTCTGTGTCTATCATTTTCAATCTCAAGCACTCTGTCTTTTATTTATTTTGTTTAAAGTAAAAAAATAATACAGAAAAGTGGATTTTATAATAACTTTATATATTGAAGCAAGAATAGTGTTAAGTGCAATAAAAAACAAGTCATTATATTTGGGTTGTTTCACCTGACAGCTGTTAATCAGAAAATCATGGCACTGGAATGTGGAATAAGCCACTGAGTTCATGTAAAAATATTTAGATGCTGTAAAAGTTGAACAACCATTCAGGCCACGTGTGGTATGCAGTGTGATTTGTGATTATTTGTGATAGATCTGTCTGAGAAGGTTTTTATTTTGTTCCATTGAACAAGTCTACAGTCATTAACCTTAGGTACAGCACAAGCTAGGAATCCCAACTTCAAATTTAAACAAAAGAAGTAAATCACAAGAATCCATATACTATAGATATGACTCTTGGCAGATTTGGAGAGACTAATAAAATGGTTTTATATGTCATTACAGTACAATCAGGAAGTTACTGCACAGCACATTTACAGCACAGCCCCACCAACTGCACATCACTGCAACTCAAGCTTTTATCAGTGCAGCCCAATGACCTCACTGACCATTACAGCATATTCCTTTACCAGCAGTGCACCACCACAGCCTGCAAAGATTACTTACTACTTATTATGGAAAATGTAATACCTTTTCTGTCTTACCAGTACACAAGTAGCTACTGTTTAGTTGTTTGTTTGATTGCAGACCACTTATCGTAGAGCTGCATTACAATCACTGCCATTTTGCAAAACAGCCTTTGTATAAATGACACAGACAGCAAATACACAATTTCCATACTGTATTTCAGTAATGGCAATCCAACAGAATGAATGTTAAGAACAGTTTTATACCATTATTTAGGAGAGTAATAGTAGTAAGTAAAGAAAATGAGAACTGCTTTCTTCTCTTCTGCTGATTGGTCAAACTTATAGCTGCTGAGGTAAAATTATTTGAACTAAAAGTAAATAAAGACCTATTAAGACTAGAAAGATATGACACACTTCCTTTTCACTTTGGTTAATCAACGATCACAAAATAAAGACATTTTAAGCATTAATAATATCCCCTATTCACCTACTGCATTCTTTCCCAGAAGGCAACCATAACTTAAAAAGCAAAGCCCTTCCTTTTTTAAAAACAATAGTAAATTGCTAATGATTCAGACTGATTTCCTTTCATGACAAAATGCGTTAATCATCCAGGCTTCTCTTTGGAAATATTTTAAAATGCAAACCTAGGTTTTGAGGAAAAGCTTAAAAGCCACTGTCAAAAACATAAAGCTCAGCGCTTACAAAATGTGCCACAATTTACTGAGCCATTCATCTCAAAAGGCCTTGTATGTTGCTATCACACAGAAAAAAAGCTGAAGGAGGACAACAATGAAACAAAAAAAATGTCATAAGACAGGCCTGGAATGAGGCAAAGGAGGGCTGCAGAGAACTGATCAGTTTTAAGCTCCTACTTCAAAACAGGCCAGGAGGCAAACCTGACAGCTCACTTTAAAGTATAAAGCATGAATACAGCCACTCAGCCAGTCATCTTTATGAATAATCCTTCACTTAACTTTCATCCCATAAGACTAGACACCCCAAAAATACTAAGCCTAAGATTTCTTTAAGAAGGAATTTATTTAGGAAAATATTAACATCCCTCCCTTACTCTGGAATAATTAAATATAGAATTCTATGGCACAGTTTTCACTCGTGTACGATTGAATATGCTCCATAGCTGGAGCCCAGAAAAACACAGGAGCATGTTCTGCTGACAACCTAAGGAGTTATTTCTCCTAGGACAAGATTTCAGAAACTATTACACAAGAAATATGTCACTGACACAACACACTACTCAAAGGATCAGAAACAAACTTAACCAATAAACCTCTATGAACCGTTTTATATCCTTTGTGATAATTCATATATCCTGGAATTTAATGTTAAACTACTGTACAACAGCTCTGTTTAAAATAGTTAAATATGAAGTATGCTTTTAAACAGTGGTTTTCAGGCCTCAATCAGGCAGTGGATAATGTTAATGTCTCAGATAGTACTATCAGCATTGCTGTATGTAATATTTTTTTTTAAACCCACAATAACGCCAGAGGTTGGAAAGAGAGGAAGAAGTTTCCTTACAAGTCAGTAAAGAAATAAAACGTTTGTCCTGTGTTTTAAACCTACTGTATGAAATTACTTTAAAGCAGGAAAGGTAAAGGTCACATTAAACGTATTTTAAGTTGCAATTTAAGTGACAATATCCAGATTGTTGTACAATCTTCTGTAAGTTACTCAATTACTTTCAAATAACTCTCAAGTTTAAAAACCCATAAAAGATTAATAAAGCCTTTTATTTACATTCTTTCAATATCTACTGTACATTTGCTTATTCTGTATCAAACAGCAGCACGTTCAGTATGAAAGCCACATTGATTGAAGGTTGGCAGGTTTCAGCTACTGTATCTCTTGTTGACTGCGTTGGCAAGTAGGACCCACATGCATTCTATTGATGAAAAAAGCTTACCATGGCAAAACCTTGACATTTTGTTTCTTGAGGCCCTGTGATTTCATCAACATATCACTGAGCAGTAAGGTTCTCCTCAATCTGCACTAAAGGCATTCTTTAATAAAGAACATGCCTTCTCACACTATCATAATTCCTCCACCTCACCAGTTAGACTGAACAACTTAACAGTCTTTACTAGGCTCAGTACAACACTGTTTTCAGTCTTTCAAATGTAAACTGGCATTCATCTGTGAATAAAATAATCCACTACTTTTTTTGCCAGCGCTTTAAGTTTGCTCACAAAAGATGTTGATTTCATCTCTCGTGAGTCAGTTTTGCCCCTGAGCTACAATACACTCATTCTGCTGAAGTAACTGCTTGGACCTTCTCTTGCTGTAGCCACTGTATCCCTAAAATGAGGGCACAGATACTGTAGATCAGAACTGTATATGTTATCATACACATCATCTGTATATGATCATTTCAGGAACATTCTACATGGCGCCAATTTCCTGGTTTTCCTTGACAAGTTTGCAAATTGTTGTTAAAGGAAAACACTTAATTCACTGTACAAAGTCTGTTACAAATAGGCTGCCCTGAATGTTCTTTCATTAATTAAAAAAAAATGCTTTTATTGGATGTTTATTGAGATTTTGAATCCACTCATTTGGTTAATTATAACTCATCTCAAATACCAAACAATGAATGCCTGGCATTTTGATGAAATCACATCACTTGAGCTCAGTGTTATCCCAAGAATCCAAACAATGAAGAAACCTAGCTGCCCTCTACTGCAAATAACTATGTGCATATTATGAGCCTATGTTTACATTGTTCAAGGGTAAATAAAAAAAAATGGAAAAATATTTGGCAGTCAATTTATTGGACTTTTTTTCCCTGTTCTTATAGTTAAGACCTTGAAATCTGTTGTACAGTAAATGCAATCCCAAACTAACGAGAGGCTGACTGTCCATACCTTATGAAATTCCTGCTGCCTTACTATATCATCAAATCAATATATTTGAGGCTTAAAATGTTAACTACTGTGATGTCTTGGAGGACACAAACATGACACAGACACCAATAACTGGTGACAACACACCAGTTGTCAGTCAGGAAAACTAAGACGACAAACTAACTTAAGGTTCTTCTACTAAATACCAGGGACAACTAATCTGCCACAGATCTGTTTTTCTTGTGGGAAAACACCTTTTGTCCAAAAACAAACAAAAAAGGACTTTCCAGACTCACAATCCATATATCCTTGGTGGATTTGTATTCTGTTCAGCATCCTCCCTCCAGCCTTTCCTCAATTTAAGCCTTTCACATGGATCTTTAGGTTTCTGCCATATGCAGTTCTTTTCTCTTGTTTCAGGTCTTCAAGATGTTATATTGCTCTTTACATATTTGGGTCTAGTCAAGGCATCCTTTTCCTCTAGCCTCAGGTCTTACTGTGGTACAGTACATTTCCTTCTCTCTGTCTCAGGAGGCTATAACCGTTATAGCAATAAACTGTGTGCTGGAATTCTGTCGTAGTCATCTTAATGCAGGAAAAGGTATTAATTATTATTGTAATTATTGGATCCTTTAAGGACAATGCCCCTCACAGCATCACACTAGATAAAAACAAGATTCTGTCATATAGTATCTCCCATTGCGCATACCTATAATCCAACATGGCATTCCTGGTAAAGGTCATGGCAACCTGGAGTCCCAAGGGTATAAGGCACTAGGTAAGGCCATACCTGGAATGGGATATTAATCCTCTGCAGGGTCCAGCATGTCTTTGGATGGTTGGAGGAAACTAAAGT